ACTGCCTTAAAAACACTTTCTGGGCAGTTTGAACACAAACACAAAGGACGAAATAGGTTTAAACTTGACTGGACACTTAAAAACACAAACTAAATTGATTTCTAACTAATCTAACACTCAAAATAATGGGGATTTGTTTTGACAAAAATTGAAAACAAAAAAAAACTTGTAAATTGAACAGATTCTAAAACGATTTGATTAATTGAATGGATGAAAAGCTAGCTAAGGGGTTCTCCTCCACACATGCCACACTTGCATACAAAACGATTTCCAATTACTTTTCGATAAGCCATGAATTCCCAACACCCCAGATTAACCGTGAATTGCACTAATTAACCTTCAGATTTTCCTTAAGTTATTGAAATTGGATGAATTGCATACGACAACCCAAAGCATCCCCACAAGTTCCCTACATGAATTGCATAATAGAGATACAAGCAAGAATCAAATCTATGAAAATCATAAGCATTGGCGAAGCACTCGTTACTATGAATTGCATGAAACTTATGCCAAGAATTTACTTAACACGATTGTGATCAACAACCTTTACTACTTGTGAATATAAGTTCATAAAGATTAGGTGAAACTCCCTTATATCCTAGCATCAAACTTATGCATGAAAATTAAGCATGCACTCTCAACCAACATACACAAATCAGTTTTAATTCATGTAGATAAGTAAATTGAATTGACAACTTATGAAACGCAATTAGAAGTAATCAAATCATATAGCAAGCATAAACATGGTTTCGAATCCCCCCTAGCCAAGGGGGGGTTTAGTTCCTCATACGTACAAAACAAAGAATATAGAATTTAAACATTGAAATCAAAGGAAAGGAAACACCTAAAACTTCCAGCAACTCGGACTTGAATGGCATGCACGTTCCAAGGTTCCTCCTCCTTCTCTTTGTCACGGCTCAAGGACTAAGGTCAGGTTTAGGGACTTAGGTATATGGATGAATGAGTATGGAAGGGGGTAGTAATGTTTAGGGTGGATGGGAGGGTGCGGCAATGGTGTTTTAGGGTCAGGAATTATGGACTTTGGTGTTGAATGAGTGCGGCAATGGACAAGGATGAATCTCTGATGTGAATTGTGAATTATGGTGAGTGGTGTGTGCGGCAAAGGCTGAGAACATGTATATATAGGCCCCAAAAACCCTAGCAAATCAGATTAGGACTTGTATAATTAAAACCCATCAGGAAAAGGCTTAAAACAATCAGATTTTGAATGGGAAAAAGCCTCCTAGGTGCGGCAGGTAAGGGATAGGGTGGATAAGGCTTCTAGAAAGCCTTGCAAGGCAAGGAAATCAGATTTTCTAGAAGGCTAGGTGCGGCAATGGTGTTAGGAAATAAGGATAGGGCTTCTACAAAGCCCAAAACCAAGAGGAAATAAGCCCTAGCCCACGGCAAGGATGAGGGAATATTCTAAAACCCTTCTTTGTGTCTTCCAACGCTTAGGAACCTTCTAATTTTGCTGAAACTCAAGGCCATCTAGGTTTAGGAAAGATCAACCCAAAGTAGAAACTTTTAGGCTAACTTTCCTACTTCAAGTAGGAAACCTTGTTTGAGTATGAATCTTCATTCTTCTAGGAATCGATCTTCAGGAATCCTTCGTTGATTAGGAATCCTTCTTCAATTAGGACTCCTTCGTTGATTAGGAATCCTTCTTCAACTAGGACTCCTTCGTGGACTAGGATTCCTCAAATCTTCAAATCTTCAATTTCGTCCAAACCTTTTGTTCCAAGCATGTGCTATTCACTCTAAGCTCACTTTTGCTCCAAAAAGCTCCAAATTGCATCTTTTTATGTAATATGCCCTTAAAACTTGAAAACACATGAAACTAGCTTAACAGACTAATTAAACTAAGAAAACATAACGAAAATGCATAAGAACTAGCTAACTAAGGCGCATAAATATGCTCCTATCATTTTAGGTAGTCGATTCCAGATCAGAAGATTGATACCAAGTGCTGGCTGATTGCTCTCTTTCTCCTTGTCCCGCATATGAAAACAACGACAAGGAGAAGGACAGGGAGAAAGCATGATATGAGATACTCTTGCTTTCAACCTTCATGATATGAAATACTTTTGCTTTGGATGAGTTGTTTGCAGAGGTACCCCAAGGAATAAGGAACACTGAGTGACCTCGAGAGGCTTCGTGGGAAGGCATTCTCGGAGATGAAGAAAGGTTATGTATGTCTGCCTTGCAATGGAGGGTGAAGGTTGACATTTATAGGAATTAATAACCGGTACTATTCTTTCACTCTTGTCGGCAACCGTTGGATGATTTAATAGTAAACTTCACGTGTCTTCTACTTCACAAGAAATCTTCAACAGATTGCCCGTAATTTCCGCAAGGCTGAGTATGATAGGATACTGTTATTAGTGATAATTGTACAACATTGTGGTGAGCTAATGTTGTTAATTGAAAGATGTCTTGTAGTTATTAGTTGAATGTTGTGGATAAGAATAATAGTTTGTTAGATAAAGATTAGATTTGGGAAAATATCTTGTTAGGACCTTAGCCTGTGTTCTGGTATAAATACTGGATAACTGTGCAGATGCGGGGTTATGATTTGTAAAAGAAGTTGTTGGAGTAATACAAGAGAAATACTAGCATACATGTGCAAGGTTAGAACAAGGGGTTATATTATTGGTATCAGCCAGTAACTATCCTCCACGTTTCCCTTCTTGTATGACGCGAGCGACGACGCGTGCCAGAACCATGGATACACGAGTAGCAGCTCTTGAAGGGTCGGTTCAGGAAATCCAATCTTCCGTTGCGACGATCGGGTCAACAATGCAGAATTTGTCCACCGTCATAGCATCAATGGAGTCTCGATTTGCAGCCTTAGAATTTCATTTTTCTGGTGCTGATCGTCCTCATCGTGCTCCCGGGGATCTTGGAAATTCTTCAAATCCAATGGGTAGTTCTGAAGAAACCTTGTCCGATCGAGTTGATCATATGGGTCAGCGTTTTTTCCGTCAAGATTCATCGTTTCACCCCCGGCCGCCATTGATCAAGCTTGAGTTTCCTCGGTTCTCAGATGGCGATGATCCTTTGGCATGGGTTTATCGGGCAGAGCACTATTTCGATTATTTCTCGGTTGACGATGCCCAAAAGGTACGGATGGCTTCTTTTCATATGGACAACGAAGCTTTACAATGGTTTCAATGGAGGAATTGTATCAAGAATCACCTAACCTGGGCAGATTTTGTTCATGTCTTCTGTAAAGAATTTGGGCCTTCTGAATTTGAGGATTTTACCGAAGCTTTAGTTCAATTGAAGCAGTTGGGTTCCCTCAAAGAGTACGTCTCGGAGTTTCGTCGATTGGCGAATCGGACTACGGAGATAGGTCCGGTCATGCTACGTGGTTGTTTCATCGGCGGCCTGAAACCGGAGTTACGTCATGACGTCAAACTGCTTCGCCCATCTGATGTACATGAGGCAATTGCGCTGGCCTTCCAAGTGGACATCAAACTATCTGATACCAAGGTTCGAAATTTCTCCAGAAATTCTGTTTCTTCTTTCAGTAATGCTACCAACTCAAAATCTGTGCCTCTGTTATCTGGTAGTAATTTTTCTTCTAGCACATCTAGGGCTAGTAATATGAGGAAAATGTCCTTTGAAGAAATTCAAGATCGTCGGAAAAAGGGGTTGTGTTATTCTTGTCCAGAGAAATGGGTTCGGGGGCATGTTTGTGCTACTCAACAACTACTGTTATTAGATGTCTCTGCTGATAGGATTGAAGATTTCGATGGTGAGGACTGTGATGACCAACAGGTGGAAATCACTGCTTGTGCAGTTTTTGGTTCATCGGCTCCTCAACATATTCAGACTATGAAAGTCTCGGGATTAATCAAGAATTGCCCAGTTATTGTATTGTTGGATTCGGGTAGCTCACACAATTTTATTAGTTTGTCTGTTGCCAAACAATTAGGGTGGAAGGTTGACTCAAAACATTCTTTTGAGGTGATGATTGCAAATGGGGGTACTATTGCCAGTAAAGGTTGTTGTTCTCAAATTAAGTTGCAGATTCAACAATATGAGTATATTTCTGATTTCTATGTACTACAATTGGGTGGTTGTGATGTGGTTTTGGGAGCTCAGTGGTTAAGAACTTTAGGTCCTATTCTTTGGGATTTTGACAAACTCAAGATGGAATTTACTTTGGGCAAGAAGCACTATTGTATTTCTAGTTCTCCACCACCTCCTGCACCAACGTCCATTTCAACCTGTCAGGTGGAGAAATTGCTTTCTCAAGGTCCTTTTGGTGTCGTTCTTTTCTTCCTAGAACCCGAGACTCAGGTTGCTATTGTTGGGGATCTCACTGTTCTGCAGGAAACTGAGTTAGAGGGCTTATTATCTCGATTTGCTTCTGTATTCCAAGCACCAACCACACTTCCTCCTTCACGTTCTCATGACCATAGAATTCCTCTTTTGGAAGGCAGCAAGCCTCCCAGTGCCAGGCCTTATCGGTATGGTCCCTTACAAAAATCTGAAATCGAAAAGTGTGTTCAGGAATTATTGGATTCGGGTTTTATTAGAGCCAGTAACAGTTCATTTTCTTCACCAGTTCTCTTGGTTAAGAAGAAGGATAATAGTTGGCGGATGTGCATGGATTATAGAGCTCTAAATTTGATAACCATTAAGGATAAGTATCCAATACCCATAATTGATGAATTGTTGGATGAGTTGTTTGGTGCTCAATTTTTTTCGAAGTTGGATTTGCGGGCAGGATATCATCAGATCAGGGTCCATACTAGTGACATTGAGAAGACAGCATTTCGCACCCATGACGGTCACTATGAATTTTTAGTAATGCCATTTGGGCTTACTAATGCCCCAGCCACTTTCCAAAGTTTGATGAATGAGATTTTCCGCCCCTACTTGAGGAAGTTTGTTTTGGTTTTCTTTGATGATATTCTCGTGTACAGTGACTCTTGGGAATCCCATCTTCACCATTTGTCTCTGGTTTTCAAAGTTCTCCAAGACCATCAATTGTTTGTCAAGCGAACTAAGTGTGACTTTGGCAAATCACAAATCGAATATTTGGGCCATGTGGTGTCTCGGCAAGGGGTGGCAGCAGATCCAAGTAAGCTTCAATCCATCCAAGATTGGCCTCTTCCTCATTCGGTTAAGGCTCTCAGGGGTTTTCTTGGCCTCACAGGATATTATCGGAAATTCATTCTGAATTACAGGAAGATTTGTGGACCACTTACTGCGCTTACAAAAAAGGATGCATTTAAGTGGACTGATGAAGCTACTAGGGCCTTCCAGGCTCTCAAGGATCTCATGGTATCTCCTCATGTTCTTGCTTTACCCGATTTTTCCAAACCTTTCATTATTGAAACTGATGCTTCCAATAATGGTCTTGGTGCTGTTTTACACCAAGATGGGAGGCCAATTGCTTTTACAAGCAAAGCTTTAGGCCCACGAGCTCAAGCAATGTCCACATATGAACGGGAAATGTTGGCTATCGTCCATGCCATCAAGAAGTGGCAGTCATATATTCAAGGGAGGCATTTTGTCATTAAAACTGACCACCATAGCCTGAAGTTCTTTTTACAACATCGAGCTCACACCCCTTTTCAACAGAAGTAGGTTTCCAAACTTCTCGGTTTCGACTACGAGATACAATATAAACAGGGTTGTGATAATGTTGCTGCTGATGCTCTTTCTAGACTGCATTCAGATGGGGAATTGTCGGCCATCTCTTATCCTTACATGGGTTGGTTGGATGATATAAGGAGGCATAATGAACAAGATCCTTGGATAATGGAAAAAATTCGGGAGTTACCTGCTGATGGTGCTTCTTCTTCCACAGCTCGGTACCATTTTGATAATGGTTTTCTTAAGTATAACGGGCGGATTGTTTTAAGTCCATCTAGTGGTTGGAGGGACAAGATTTTCTATGAGCATCACTGTACTCCAGTGGCAGGTCATTCTGGTTTTCTTAAAACATATAAGCGAATTTCCCGATCTTTCTACTAGCAGGGTATGAAATCTGATGTTATGCAGTGGGTGGCAGCTTGCTCAGTTTGTCAACAAAACAAGACTGAAACTTTGGCTTCTCCTGGCCTACTTAATCCACTTCCCATCCCATCTACTGTATGGACGGATATAGCAATGGATTTTATTATTGGTCTTCCTCCTTGCAAGGGTAAAACCATTATTTTTGTGGTCGTTGATCGCCTTTCCAAGTATGCTCATTTCCTGCCCATGTCTCATCCATACACTGCCCATTCCGTAGCACAGATATTTGTTGACCATATATTCAAACTCCATGGTATGCCATCCACAATAGTAAGTGATCGCGATCCTGTTTTCTTGAGCTCTTTTTGGAAGGCATTTTTTACATTGAACGGCTCCAAATTGTGTCTCAGTTCGGGTTACCATCCTCAAACCGATGGACAAACAGAGGTCACTAATAGAGGTTTGGAAACATACTTGAGGTGTTTTTGCAGTCATCAACCAAAGAAGTGGGTTCACTGGCTTCCGTGGGCAGAATGGCATTACAATACTACTTTTCATACTTCATCCAAACTGACACCATATGAAGTTGTGTATGGGCAGCCACCTCCCGCTGTACCTACTTATGAATCTGGAGCAACTAAGATTGATTTGGTTAATCGGAGTTTAGAAGAAAGGGGAAGAATTTTGTCTCAGCTCAAGACTAATCTTTTATCGGCTCAAGTGAGGATGAAGCAGCAAGCAGATAAACACCGCACTGAGAGGTCTTTTGAGGTTGGAGATATGCGATTGGTACCTTATCAACACCAATCACTTGCTAAACATCCCTTCCATAAGCTTCAACCACGGTTCTATGGTCCATTTAAGGTGTTGCAGAAGATTGGTCACGTGGCTTATAAAATTGACTTACCTACCACATCCAAACTTCACCCAGTTTTTCATGTTTCATGCTTGAAGAAACAGTTAGGCTCTGATATCATTCCTGCAGTTCCATTACCTGTCGTTATAGAGGATGGACTCTTGGAGGATTATCCTTTGGCAATCTTGCGGCGCAGGTTAACAGGTCAGGGCAGTTCATCTAAGACTGGGGTTTTGGTGCAATGGCAGCATCGGCCTAAGGAGGATGCGACTTGGGAAAATTATGCAGAGTTTGTCAACAGGTTTCCTGCATTCCAACCTTGAGGACAAGGTTCATTTTTTAGGGTGGGGTAATGATAGGATACTGTTATTAGTGATAATTGTACAACATTGTGGTGAGCTAATGTTGTTAATTGACAGATGTCTTGTAGTTATTAGTTGAATGTTGTGGATAAGAATAATAGTTTGTTAGATAAAGATTAGATTTGGGAAAATATCTTGTTAGGACCTTAGCCTGCGTTCTGGTATAAATACTGGATAACTGTGCAGATGCGGGGTTATGATTTGTAAAAGAAGTTGTTGGAGTAATACAAGAGAAATACTAGCATACATGTGCAAGGTTAGAACAAGGGGTTCTATTAGAGTATGCATGTGACAGGTGCTAACACATCTGGAAAAGCAAGTGCCTCTTCGATATCTGGAATCGGCGCTTCGACAAACTACCCATGATTTCCGCAAAGTTGACTGTGTATGTGACAGGCGCTGACACGTCTGGAAAAGCAAGTGCCTCTTCGATATCTGGAATCGGCGCTTCGACAAACTGCCCATGATTTCTGCAAAGTTGAGTGTGCATGTAACAGATGCTGACATGTCTGGAAAAGCAGATGCCTCTCCGAGTTCTGAGCTTGCCTCTTCGAGTTCTGAGCTCCGTCGAGTGCAGAGGTTGCATGTGACAAGTGCAAACAAATCTGGAAAAGAAGATTGGCCCGTGGTTTCTGAGCAAGCTCAGCTTTTGAGAAAGCTAGCGCATCTTCGATTTTTGAATTAGCCTTTTCAATTTCTGAGCTCGCCCCTTCGATATCTGAAATCCCGTCTAGTGCTGGTTTTTATAGAGGCGCGCAGTACGTTTCAAAGCACACTTGAATTTCTGCTTGTAGAAACTCCCTTCTTGCACTTCTACGATCTTGACTTGTCCAACCTCTTCTTTCTTCAACACCTTTGAAAATGTCTGGCCCTTCCAACCATCGTTTTGACTTGAACCTTGGTGAAGAGGTAGCCATGCCTTCTCCAGACAACATATGGCACCCATCCTTTATATCCCTTACTGGTCCTGTTACCGTTAGGGATTCGGTAATGAAGAATGATATGATCGCTGCGGTGGTGGCCCAGAACCTTATCACTCCCAAAGATAACAGACTGCTTTCCAAACGGGTTGATGAGTTGGCTGTTAAGGATTCTCTGGCTCTCAGTGTCCAGTGTAGGTTCTGTGTCTAATATGGCCCAACGCCTATTTGCTCGAACCCGTCAAGTTGAATCATTGGCGGCTGAAGTGATGAGTCTCAAACATGAGATTAGAGGGCTCAAGCATGAGAATAAGCAGTTGCACAAGCTCGCACATAACTATGCTACAAACATGAAGAGGAAGATTGACCAGATGTAGGAATCTGATGGTCAGATTTTACTCATCAGAGGTTTGTGGGTTTGTTCCAACAGCATTTGCCTTCGTCTTCTGGGGCTATACCACGTAATGAAGCTCCAAATGATCAACCTCCGATGCCTCATCCTTTTGGGGCTCCGCCGACTACTGAGACTTCTCGTAAGCAGCCTTTGTGAAGGCTTCCTCTTGTATTTTCTGCTTAATGTTCCTTTTTTTTTTATGAAAGTGAATGTAAAAATACCTTGCATATCTGTCAATGTTTCAAAAATAAACTCACACCAAAAACAATTAAACAAGCAACAAATAAGAATGACAATCATGGCAAAATAAAATGCAGAAAAGGGAAGGTTTTTAGAAATGCAAAACTGATTGTGGAGCGATTCAGAAATCTTCCTTATTTTTGAATATATGGATTGCCTCCCAAGAACCGCTTGCTTTAACGTCTTCCAACCAGACGAAACTTCCTTCTAAGCTTGGATAGGGCCCATAGCATGGAATTGATCCTTGAATGGAAGGTGATACTTAACATGATCCGGCAATGGTTTAAATTCTAGTGTAGGTGCCTAAATCATCAAAATCAGCAAGTTAGTATAAAATAAAATCGAAGTTGGAGAAGATGGCTTACTTGCTTGCTCCGACACAGACTCAATTACGAACACTACATCTTTGAAGGTTGCAGGGATATGGGACTTGGCCAGATTTGGTGTTTTGAGAGTTATGACTTGTCCCATGTCATAAAATCCAACTTCTTTGGGATTTTTCATCTCAAGTGTATCTTCTTTGATGAATTCTAGACATTCCCCATCCACTTCTTGCTCTTGATTCTTTGGAAAGGTTTCAAAGATGCCTTTCTCACCCTCTTCTTTCTTGGATTGCATGATCCTGCAATGAATAAGGACATTTGGTAAAACGAGGTCAAGACGAATTGAATTTAGGCTTTCCTTGGTTGTAATGGATGGCATATAGGGCATATGGGGTTGCGACAAGGGTGGTTCTTCCTTTGGCGTGGCCTTGTTATTCTCCTGTTCTTCGAGCATCAGCTGTTCATCCATGTTTTGGCTTGGTTTGGATGTCTTGGGTTCACCTCCAACCTCTATAGCACTTCCCAAAGTGATAGCATCATGGATTTCAAAATCTTCCTTCAAAGTTTCAATAGTTGAGTTGGAAAGTTCATTTTGCTCTTGAATTTGTGCCGTGAACTCCATAATCTCTCCAAGTTGATTTTTCAATTCGCTCATCTCCTTAGCTTGATTGAGCATTGTTTCATTTTGATTTTGCTGCCCCTGCACTAAAGAGGTTAGTAATTGAAAATTTTGATCACTATCCGTGGACATACTTGAATTTGATTGGAATTATTTCATCAAAAATTCGATCATAATCTATTGACGAACCTGAGTTTGATTGAGCATATTGTATATTAGGTTGTGATGGCTGCATATGTCTTGAATGGAACTCCCCTTTTTGTTGCCAATATCCATCTTGTTGGAATTGTTGAGGTTCTATGTAATCTGAATAATCTCTCCAATCCGAATTGTAAGCGTTTGAAAACATGTTGTCCCATGATTGGCTATGGCCTTGATAACCCCAAGCATCTTCATTTGCAGCGAATTGAGAATATTGCTGAGTTGGATATCCTTGTCCATAGGACACACCACATGTAGGGACAATTTGCATTGTGGTCCTTTCAGCATATTGTGACAATTGAGAAATAAGTTTTGCCAATTGAGCTTGAATGGTAGCAAAATCCATGTCTTTCTTCTCTAGTACTTGAAATCAAGGAAACAAAACTAAATCAAATATCAAAAGTAAAAAAAAAAAAAAAACACAAACAGAAACAAAGTCAGTAACTAAAAACAAAAGACACGAAAATAAACAAAAAGAAATAACAAGGGACTAGTATAGTTGGCATAGTTGCTAATCCTCGGCAGCGGCGCCAAAAACTTGATGCGAAAATTATCTTAACACACAAATTTAACCCTCTTTTGACAATTGTAGTACAAGTATAAGTAGGGATCGTTCTGGACCGGAGATTAGGAGGGCTTGCTAATAACCTCTAAACTAATTCAAAAACATAGAACTAAATTTAAAAACACTAAACAAGACTCACAAGACTCAAAACAAACTTAAAATACTCAAAACAGCTTAAAACTACCAAATAAACTTAAACTAGACACTAGGAATGACTTTGGATGAAAATTGACTTTTACTTGAATCAAAACACTTAAGAACACAACTAAAACAGATTTGAAACACTTTGAAACAAAAAACTAGAACGGGGTTTTGATTTGGATGAAGTTGAAACAAACAAACAAGTATGAAAAATTAGACAGATTGTAAAACAAATTTGAGAAACAAGATGATGGATGAGATAGCTAGAGGCTTTTTCTCCACACATGACATGTATGCAAACAACTCGATTTCCAGTTACTACTTCATTGAATTATGAACCACAATGCTCCAAATTAACCGTGACATCACTAGTTAACTCTTAGATTTTCCTTGTTTTATTGGATTGGATGACATCATTCGACAACCCAAAACATTCTTCTAAAGTTCCCTAAATGACATCATAATAGAGATACAATAAAAGATCATTACGTTTAATGAAAATCATAAGCATTGACAAAGCACTTGCAACTATGACATCATGTCACTCATGCTAGGAATTGAACTTAACGCGATCGTTTATAAGCGACCTTCACTACATGTGAATATAAGTTTGTATCGATTATGTGAAACTTCCTTATATTCTAGCAACGGATTTATGCATGCCAATTAAGTGTCGACCCTTAATTAACAAATACAAATAAGTTATCAATCAAATAGTAAAGCCAATTGCATTCACGATTCAAGAGTTCATAACTGGAATTTATCAAATTATATTGCACACATAATCATGGCCTTGAAATCCCCCTTAGCCAAAAGGGGTTTAGCCACTCATATTTACAACAAAAAGAAAGGAAATGAATTTAAACATTAGAAACAAAAGAAAGAAAACACCTAAACGCTCCAACGATCCAAGTTGGACAGCAAGCACGTCCAAGCACTTTCCTTCCCTTCCTTTGCTACGGCACAAGGTGTTGGTAAGTGTTTGAAGGTTTATTTGTATGGAGGAATGGCTGAATGTGTTTAGGTTGGATGGAGGTCACGGCAAGGAAAGGGAAATGAAGGTGCATGGAATTGTGTTTTTGTTGTGGGAATGTGTAGAATGGTTAAGAAGAAAAGACTATGCCTTGCGGCAGAATGTGTCTTCCTCCCTTCTCCATCAACTGTCCCCCCGAATGTGTCTTTGGATGGATATATTTATAGGCTAGGGAGAGGATGTAGTGGGTGGTGGTAATGAGTGAATGTAGTGGTAGGTGAATGTGTTAGGTGGTTGAAATGAGTGGATGTGTTGGGTGAAATGAGTAGATGTAGTGGTAGGTGAATGTGTTGGGTGGTTGTAATGAGTGGATGTGTTGGGTGAAATGAGTAGATGTAGTGGTAGGTGAATGGATGTGTTGGGTGAAATGAATGGATGTAGTGGTAGGTGAATGTGTTGGGTGGCTGTAATGAGTGGATGTGTTGGGTGAAATGAGTGTGCTAAAATGGTTATTTATAGGGAGAGGATGATGCACAAACTTCAAATTTCGTCCATTCCTTTTGCTCCAAGCATATCTTATCCATT